CAAATCAATAGACTTGTATACTAATAACTGTCTCACTGGTAGTCAAATTAGGAAAACAATCCCTTTCATAATAGCATCCAAAAAAATGAAATATCTAGGAGTCAATCTAATGAAGGAAACAGAAGACCTCTACACTGAAAATTACAGTAATTGAAGACATTGAAGAAGACATAATAAAAAAGAGAATGAAGAGGATATAAGAAAGAGATACAAGAAGAGGATATAAGAAAGAGCTTGAAGAGGCGGTAAGAAGATGAAAAAACATCCCGTGTTCCTGGGTAGGAAGAATTAATATAGTAAAATTTCCCATACTTCCAAAACTGCTTACAAATTCAATGCAGTCCCTATTGAAATCCCAACAATTTATTTCATAGAAATAAAGAAATCAATGCAAAAATTCATATGGAACAAAAGAGACCTAGATAGCAAAAGCAATTCTAGGCAACAGAGACATGGCAGGGGGTATCACAATCCTGAATTTGAAACTACACTAAAAGCCACTGTGATAAAAACAGCATGGTACTGGCAAAGAAACAGACCCACAGATCAGTGGAATAGATTAGAAGATGCAGAAAGATATCTTGATATACTCAAATACCTCATCTTTGACAAAAGAGCCAAACACCCTCTCTAGAGGAAATATAACCTCTTTAATAAATGGTGTTGGAAGCACTGGATTTCAACTTGTCAAAGATTAAAATTAGACCCACATCTTTCATCATGCAATAAACTAAAATCCAAGTGGATTAAAGATATAAATATTAAAGCAGAAACACTGAACCTGCTGGAAGATAAGTTAGGTAGAACTCTTGAAGATATCGGAATAGGAAAAGACTTTATGAACAAATCCTCAGTAGCACGGGAACTAGCACAAAGAATCAACAATTGGGATCTCATCTTTTAAAAAAACTTCTGCACTGACAGAGAAATCACAAGAAGAGCTAAGAGACAACTCACAATGTGGGGGAAAATTTTACCAGCTAATCCTCAGACAAAGGTCTACCACGTAGAACATACAAAGAACTAAAAAAAATCAGACCCTCAAATATAAAGACCCAATTCAAAAATGGGCATCTGAAATGAATAGACATTTCTCAGATGAAGAAGTAAAAGCAGAAAGCAAATATATGAAAAAGTGTTCCATATCACTGGTCATTCGGAAGATGCAGATGAAACCAACACTGAGATACTATCTCACCCTAGAAAGAATGGCTGCTATCAAGAAATCAACCAATAACAAATGCTGGTGGGGTTGTGAGGAGATAGGAACACTTCTCCATTGTTGGTGGGAGTTCAGAGTGGTGCAACCACTGTGGAAATCAATATGAAGATATCTCAAATAACTAGGATTACAAGTCCCATTTGACCCAGCTATTCCTCTGCTGAGTATCTTCCCAAAAGAATTAAAAGAATCATATCACAGTGATACATGCACATCCATGTTTATAGCGGCACAGTTTGTAATAGCTAAAACTTGGAAACAGTCCAATTGCCCATCTACTGGAGACTGCATAAAGAAGATGTGGGATTTTTTTTTAAGTAAAATTGAGTAGTACTCAGCCATAAAGAATGGAAACTAGAGAGATTTATAGATAAGTTGATGCACATGGAGGCCATACACTTAATCAGCTACACATGTGTAAATACTGAATAGTTTCTCTGGTGTGAAAAAGTAAAAGTGTGAATAAGGATTAAAATATATAATTGAGATTGTGTAATAGGAAGAAAGTATAAAAGAGTAGAAGAAGTGGGAGGGGTAGGGGAAAGGGAAAAGAAAAAATTTGTGCAAAGGAAAAACATGGAAACAATGTCTTTGTAAATAGAGAAGGGTAGAGGGGCTGAGGGGAGGGCTGGGGAATAGGGAAAAGTAAGAACCTGAAGTCATGTAAAGGTACAAGATCCCAGTGGTGAATGTAACTGCGTTGTATACCTAATATGTACCAATAAATTTAACAAAGATAAAAAAGCAGAAGTGCAGCCATGTGGTCATTCCATCATTCCCCTACTTAAAGAAGTGTCCCAGTGAAACAAAGGGACCACAGAGCAGAGTCACTGTGGCGGGGAGAAGGACCCTCCCAGTATGGAAGAGGCCAGTGGTGACTATCAATGATTCTGCTTCAGGAAGTTGGAAGCACCCCTGGTGGGCCACAAGTGACACCCAACACTATCTTTCTATGTAGAACTCTGTGCTTGCTTCTCAGTGAAGTTTCCCAGGCATGAATCCTGGCCGTTACCCACATGACCAAGCTGAGATATTCCTAATTTTAGATTCTCCACTGTTGCCTGGGCCTAGGGCACAACCATGGTGCTTCTCAATTTTTCCAAGGCAGATGACAATTCTTACCCTGGCTGTAAAGGTGTGTCAAAGTGGCTGGCAGGTCTCCCTTTGATGTTAGGTCCTTGCCCTCTTCTTTTTTACCTCCTTTGATCACTCTCTGGAGCACACACAGACACAAATGAATGTGTGTGTGTGTGTGTGTGTGTGTGTGTGTGTGTGTGTGTGGAGAGAGAGAGAGGAAGGGAGAGAGAGAGGGAAAGATAGAATCTTATTGGAGGAAGGCAAGAGACATATGGTGCCCATTTCCATTTGATTCTTAAGCCCAATTCCTGAGGACCTCCCAGTTCTTTTGATTCCTTCTCTCCTACCATCAACATCTTTACTGGAGGCCTTGACAGACTGAAAATTAACTACCTTTCTTCTCTAATCACTTTACAGGTAATGAAGGGCAGAGTCACACTTCATTCTTCCTCTCTGCTGTCAGAACGGAGCTAGGTTTCCACTTCAGAAAGGGCCTTTGCCTTGAACTACACAGGCTGTATGATGTCCCCATGTACATGTAAATGTTCGACTGTGCATCTGTATGCATGCCATTGTGTACACATGTGAGTGTGTGTTTGTACATGTGTGTGAGTGCATGCATGTGCAGGATGGTAGGGGTAGAGTAAGGGAATAAATCCTAGACATTTGTTTTCTGGTGAAAAATTTAGGTGACTTTTATTCTTGTGGCCTCCAGACTGCCCTTGTCCCTCCCCTCACCCCCTGTACCTAAGCAGTGCACACATCCCCTCCCCTGACCCTGTATTCTCCAGTGAGCTGATCTCATTATGGTAAATTTAGTTACAGCTGAAGTCTCCTTGTAACAAAGATTATGTCCAAGCGCAGAGTAATGGAACCTAGTCGATTTCATTACAATAAAATTTGTTACAATGAATAATTCAATAGGATGATTTTGTTTCCTCATCTCTTTTTTGTAGATCGAAGAGCTAGTATTTATAATGATTTTTTTTAAATTGGATTTTTGTTTAGGAAGAGATAATTGCCCATAATTCCTGACAGCCCTTTCCTCACAAGATCAGGATAACTGCTCCGTGAAGCTTTTCAAATGCAAAGACTGGAAAATTCTCTCTTTTGTTCACATTAGTATCAGTAAACTTTGGATGATTCTTAAACATAGTTACGCCCTCAACTGTCACTCATGTGAGGTTCTGAGTGGGCTCTTAATACTCTTGTATGAGTGATTTTTAAAAATACGACTAGGAACTGGATGTTAATGTTGAATTTGGAGTTCCTGAACTTTCTATGTAATAGGCACACAATGCCTGAGCATGTAGCAGGGAGCGCACGTGTGCACACGTGTGTTGTGTGTGTGCGCGCACACTCCTGTGTTCCTTCAGGTCAGGAAACAGACAGTTCCTGAGCACCTGGTCTTATCTAGATCCCATTTTGAAGATGAAGGGACAAAGAGGAATGAAACTTGAGTCTATTCTCTAAAAAACTGATAGCCTAATGGGGGATCCAGGTGATCAAACAAAGGTTTAGAGTTCAGTGCAACGGGAAGTGGGTGCAACCATGAAGATGAGTTCACAGAATACAGAGGTGGTGAGGGAAGAAGACGGATGCTGGTCATTTATTCATGTAATCATTCATTCATTCGCTAAGATGGCAGTAAACATGAGAGGCACCAGAAAACACCATGTTTTATTTCTTTTCACATTCTGCAAGGAGTTTGGAAATAAATGCATACAAATAAAGAACCTAATAATGCAAACATCACCAAAAAGATCAAGCTGTGATGAAATGCGTGAGAAATCTAATAAATGAGGTGCTCCTTTCCTATACCGTACCCAGTGATTCTTCACTGAGCCTCGGCAGACAATTATATTTCTCTTTCATCTGGAAACCTGGCCTACTGCACTGCTCCTGGATTTAGGAAGCAGTATGAAAGAGGAGTGTTCAGGAGCCACGGTTCCTTTGCAAGGCCAGCAGGCAAGATGGGCTTAGAAATGGTGGCTGGGCCTAGCACTCAGAAGCACTGAGTCGTGACTCTGGGAAATGGGAGTCTCGGAAGAAGGCAGGTGCTTGCTCAGCAGGATAATTGGAAAGGTGGCTCTGGGGACAGCACAGCCATCACTAGAATCACACAAGCTCTAGTGGTCCCCAAACTCTCACTGCCTCAACTAAGTTATCAGTCCCCTGAGAGAGAACCAGGGCACATTAATAGTGCATTAGGGGACTGAGGAATGAGTCACAGCCTCTTAGAATTGGGGAAGTCCTTGGAGATCATCACACTCAACCAGTCACTATTTTAAAGATGGGAAAGCAAGGCGTAGAGAGGTGGGAAGACTACTCTACAGCCACAAAGTAAATGCATAGTAGAATTACTATTAATTCATTAAGCACACAACTTGGAAAATTCTAAAAATGCAAGTGAGGCTTCCCAAGATGAATTTTTTCTTGCCCCTACTGAATTCCAATGACATATCCCATTGAAGTTCTTTCCTACATGTGAATGGCCACAGGTAGGAAAATGGGAAGACAGATATTACGCCATAACGCTGATGGCCCCTCCCCTTGCCCATTGCCTGTGTAACCCTCTATCAACACTGACACTGCATCTGGTTAAAGATGTGCTCAAGTGGCCACATCCAGTGACACCACGTGTGTGATGAAGACCTTGAGGCACACAGAGAAGATTCAGAACATGAAGCTAGGGTCTTACCTGTGACGCTGCTGGCTGCCCAATGACGACCCACCCAGGGCACTGCTGGTCCTGATGGGACACAGAAGCGTTGGATGCCCACTGATCCAGGAATCCCTGGGGTGTGTAAACACCACAGTCTTTAATGCTAGTCTTCTGTTCAAACTCTTCACATATCCCGTCTCCATCGTGGAAATAGCACCGGCTGGGTTCATCTACAAGAGAGGGACAGAGAAGGAGATGGTGGAGAGATATTTGTTCTTTGGCCTCTGACATCATTAGCAGCAATGAGATTGGACCGCCAAGTCCACCAGCCTTGTCAAGCCCATCCTCATTAGGCATAAAGGAATATTCTTTAGCCTTAATAAAAGAAGTCTTGTCAAATGCAACAACATGGATGGACCTCGAAGTCACCATGCAAAATGAAATAAGCCAATATAGAAGGACAAACCCTACACAGCTCCACCTAGGTAAGGCAGCTAAGGTGGCAAAACTCATAGATAAAGAAAGTGAAATGAAGGTTGCCAGATTCTGAAAGGAGGGGAAATGAGTGCGAGCTGTTTATTAGGTGCAGATATTTAATTATGCATAATGAAAAAGCTCTAGATAGCTTCAGCACAACATTACGCTTATAATTAACAACATTATACTTTAAATTTAAAATATGTTAAGAATGTACTTTGCCAAAGCTGGGCGTGGTGGTGCATGCCTGTAATCCCAGCCCTTGGGAGGCTGAGGCAAGAGGTTCACTGTGAGTTCGAGACCAGCCTGGGCTACATAATGAGTTCCAGGTCAGTCTCAACTACATAGTGAGACCCTGTCAAAAAAAAAAAAAAAAAAAAAAAAAAAAAAAAAAAGAATGTTGTTTGCCACACACACACACACACACACACACACACACAGGTTTGCAAACACCTTCATTACCCCCAAGTGAGCCTCACCACCTCAAGAGGAAGGCATTATTATTATTTTAATCACTATTTTAATCTTAAATTGAGATGCCACACAATTATAAGAAGGTCACACAATGGGTTTATGTCAAATGTGGGATCGGAACTCATGCCTTCCTGTTCCATCTCTGAGTATACTTTTGACACCACAGAACCTCCTAGCTGCAAACTTGGGTTCATATAATTCCAAAGGTAATTCCAGTTCTGCATAAAGCATGACCTGGCTTCAGTACCACTTTTGAAACTTCACTGTTCTGTGATGTCAGTTAGCCAAGTCTCTTTCCCTCTCTGGACCCAGTAAGCAGAGCATAGAAAGGGGTTAAAACACTGGGATTCCAAGAACTTTTCCTGTCTAATGCTTCTAAGGACTTGTCAGGTACCTTAGGAGTTTCAGTCAAACACCAAGTAAGTCTTCAAGCTCCTATGAACTTCAAACTACAGTAACAGTTTCCGTTTTTTCTTTAAAGCTATTGTTGGCTAAAATGATTTTCCCTTGCTACAAGGAAAAGAGCCACAGAAATACAGGGCTAAGAGTAGATAGGTCTTAAGCAGGTGCAACCTATGCATGTTTCTTGGTATTTTAACAGAGCAATACATATGAAAGCCTACATGCAACATTTGAAAAAGATTACCCTGCCTTCTTTTTTTAATTTTAATACCAGATCTCCTGTGCTCTCTTCTCAGTTTTTCTAAGCAAAGCTATCTACTCTCTACTGCACGTGTATTCCTATTTTATTAAAATCTCCACCTTAACACTGAACACACTGTGCTGTCATTAGATCTACATGCTGCAGCTCCCCTGAAAGATTTGGAATTCCTAAAGCCGGGTGTGGTGGTGCACACCTGTAATCCCAGCCCTTGGGAGGCTGAGGCAAGAGGTTCACTGTGAGTTCAAGACCAGCCAGGGCTACATACTGAGTTCCAGGTCAGTCTCAACTAAATAGGGAGGCCCTGTCTCAAAAAACCAAAAAAAAAAAAAAAAAAAAAAAAAAAAAAAGATTCAGAATTCCTTGAAAGGCAATCTCTACCCAATGTCCTAGGTTTACCATACAATTTATCATGTAAGCTAGAGCATACTTTGAAAATGATGGCAGTGCTACTAAAAATTATAGCCACATAATAGTCATATAAGCTGGGAAAATCTCAAAATCTCAGGTAAATCACTGTGCATATATCACTAGATCTAGGTCGCCCTTCTCCAGTTTACTACAAAATAGTAGAGGGTGGCTCTGGAGAAGGCAATGATTGTAAGGCCAAAGACCTGATTTGATTTTTGTCCTTTCTACTGGCTCTGCAACTTTGCAAAGGCTACTTTGCTTTTCAGCCTCTGGATCCCCAAATGTAGCATGGACATGACAGTCCCAGTCTGGACAAGCTCTCATCAGAAAGAACTCTCATTGGAAAGGAACATAAATATGCTTTGTACATTCTAAAATAATCAAGACAAAAATAATACTCTCTTCTAGAGGGTCGATTTGTTCCTAAATAATTGAATTAAATCAAATTGTGAAATCAGTCCTGGCTTTAAATAGTATCAAGCAACACTCTCCCATCTAGAAAGAGCCCAGGTCAAGTAGAAATAAGACTTGAATTTTTATGATGCTGACTACTTGAAAAAAGAGTTATTGAATTCAAGGACAGCAAAATGTAGAGCCCCTTCCAAGCTCTAAAATCCCTTGTTTATTTCTGCAAATAGTTTACATAGTGAAATAGTATCAAAAGAGCCAGAATAAATCAATCCATTATAATTCGATTATTTAAAGATGGGTTTCAGCCAGCTGAGAATTTAGTGAGCAGTAGCATGAAGGGCAGTTCAGGCATGGAAAGAACACAGGCTCCGTGCTTCTCAATAGTTCTGATCTCTAGATCACTGTGGCCAACCTAGATATAATAAGACACATGTCCAATCCAAGAGTGGTCAGCCATAAATCTAGTCTTTACTTTCTAAAATCCAATCAAGGAGAATGCAAAGAGTAAGGATTCTGGCATATAGCAAAGGTTGGATAGATCTCCATCTCTACTGCTCATAAGCTGTGTAGGACTGAAATGAAGCAACCTAATCACTCGGAACTTCACCTTCCTTGCCCACAGACAAAAGAAACAAAAATGGAGGCAGTAATATTTACTCAGTGTTGTCATGGTGATTACATGAAATAGCACTGATAATGTCAGCCTCTTTACTCATTTATCTACTGGAAAACTGAGAGGTAGAGGAGATATAGTATCTGCCTCCAGGCTATACAGAGAAAGCTAGAATCAGAGCTAGAAGTCTGAGCCTGGTTTTTCACACCTAGCAGGACAGATCCTTTTCACACCAGTGTGATGTTCTCCATGCAGTATCACTAAGGATAAGATCACGAGGTTACCACTTTTTCCTCCTCCAGTATAAAGACAAATAAGTAAGACTATATGAATTCTATCCTCTGACATGACTTAATTCATTTCTTCAGCAAAGATACCTCTCAGAATAGCCCCTCTCTCTCAAAAAAAAAAGAAAGAAAGAAAGAAAGAAAGAAAGAAAGAAAGAAAGAAAGAAAGAAAGAAAGAAAAAGAACTAGAGATGAATTCTCATGAAGGGCAATTTCTTCTTGTATTTAAGACTAAGGTAATTCTGTCTGCTTAGAATCAGCAGAACTTGAGATTGGAGGGAGACAGACATGGGCAGAAAATCAGGTGCATAAGTGAGTAGATAGGCAGATAGATGACAGATAGACAGATAGGCAGAGACAGCGTTAAGAAGAGGAGAGAGGCAGAGAGAGAGAGAGAGAGAGAGAGAGAGTGAGAGAGAGAGAGAGAGAGAGAGAGAGAGAGAGAGAGAGAGAGAGAGAGAGAGAGAGAAGGGGAATAAGAATATGTCTGGTTTCTTCTAGATTCTGCTGACAAAGCTATTGTGCATCCCTTTTAAAAATAACATCCTTGGACTGTGCTATTCAGCTTCTCTTGCTACTAGTGTCCCAGGAGCCCTTCAGCTCCATCTGCCAGCCTTTGTCTGGGGAATTCTCTATCCCTCTGCCCCAAGCACTGAACAGAACAGGGTAAGGAATAGAATACAAATGTGCAGCCGGGAAAAACAAAGACAGCGACAATAAAACAAAACTGGCCTTCTTGTTTCCATTACATCAATTTGCTGAGTGCTCCTCGAATACTTTATGCCAGGTTCTGACCAGGTTGTAGTGAAGAATTTGAAGTCAGTCCCAAGGAGAAATGATCACACTGCCACCCTGGCTTCCTTATAGTAGTTACGTAACTTTGGTGATACTGTATTACACTGAGAGCAGTACTGTGCAGACTATACGCATGCACGCACAAACACATCTGAAAATTGAACAGACTTTCAAAGATTATTTGGTGAATGAATGAGTAACTAAACTTCAGCATCCCTGTTTTACACACTCCTGCACAAATATAGTTTGCACTCTACATCCTTTGAAAACTTTCTTTAAGTTATGATTTGGGGGAAGTAAAAGGAGCTGACACTAGTAGAGACTGCCCCATGGTGGGCTTGCTCGGGGCAGTCTGATCTCGAAATCCCATGTCATCTTCTCTTAGCAAAAGGTAATTCCTCATTTCAGATCGTCGCCTTACTTATGGTGTCGCATTTAGAAAGCTCTTCTACCCAGTCAGGACACCTGATGTGGGTGGGCTAGGCAGGATGAACTGTCTCTCCTCCTCAGGTGTGTTTTCTCATGTGAGAAAGTTTCTTTCTCCTTTCTAAGAAATGAGCTCAGCCAAAGAGCTCGATGTAGAGGAGGTTTCTGTAAGTGGTCAGCCACAGTGGATGCAGCCCTTCATTGACTTAATCTTCAACTTTTAACTGTCTAGGCCACTGAGATGCAATGCCATGTCTCTGCATTCTCAAGGCATATACAAAGGACAGTGTTTGTGGCAGGTAGAGGCTGTTGTCTCCACTGGAAAGCTTGGGAGGCCAAATATAAGGAAAAGGAGACAAATTCACCTTAAAGTATAGGCAAAAGCTAGAATTAATGCTAATTTTCCTTAGTTTGGCATACCAGGCTCTTCACAAACTGTCTTCCTTCTTCAATTTTCCAAACTAGCCATTTCCATTCCATTTATCCATGCTATCTCACAAGGGTTGTTTTGCTCTGTTGGGAATGTATTTTCCATTTCTTCACCTTACTAATTCTCACTAGTTCCTCATGCTAGAATCTCTCTTGGCAAATCTCTATTTAAACCCCTTTCTAGGATTTCCACCCTACTTGGCTTCATTTCCCTTCCCTGTGTTCCATATTTCCATATTTCTTCCA